TCTGTGTGTGTCCTGTGATGGACTGACCCTGGTGTGAGTGTGTGTGTCTGTGTCTGTGTGTGTCCTGAGATGGGCTGACCCTGGTGTGAGTGTGTGTGTTTGTGTCCGTGTGTGTCCTGTGATAGACTGACCCTGGTGTGACAGTGTGTGTGTGTGAGTGTGTGTGTGTGTCTGTGTGTGTCCTGTGATGGACAGGTGTCTTGTCCAGGATGCATCCCGCCTTGCGCCCGTTGCTTGCTGGGATAGGTTCCGGCTCCCCTGATGCCCTGAGTAGAATGAAGTGGTTACAAATGGATGGAGGGACAGAAAGAGTTCACCCTCCTCCAAGTCCAAGACAAGGACAGCGCTTCTCATCGCCACTCCAGTATTGTCCTCGCACCCCAATTCCCCCTGTGGGAAGGGGCTTGACTCTGATGGCTTCGTCTTTGTGCACCAGAGAGAAAGACATCAGAAAATGTGACCCAAACGACTGTGTTCCTGACCTTTCTCCAGCCTGTGCTGCAATTCACAGAGTTACTGGGTATTTTGTTTTTACCACACTGCCTGTACTGCCATTATGCTCAGCAGCAGGCTTCTAAACACTGTTGCTGCTGTCTCATCTGTTTGTGAACGTGACAGGAACCCAGAGACAGTCTCCAGTGAGACTTCCCCAGAACTGAACCCCCCTTCCCCCACGACCTCCTGGCCCCCCCATCACTGTTACAACAGGGTCCCTTGTCACTGCAGTCAGGGGACCAGAAGGTGCCCATTAACATCCCCTCTAATTGGGCCCCTGCCAGCTGCTACTGCTGCCTCCCTGTTCCCATAGCGACGGGGCCTAGCTGTCAGTGCTGAGCCTGTCTGGGAAAAGGAGTCAAACATCAACAGAACTGGAGATGGGCCCACATTCTCCACATGCTCAAAGGAAAAAGGAAAATAACAGCATCAGGGGTTACTACCGGGATTAGCAAACATCTCAACAAAGAGTTCAATGTGAAGTTATGGATGGAACAAGGCTTTTACATCTGAGATAGAGGTAATCTAATGATCTAATTTCAGTGTCAGGTGTGCTTTATTGATCTCACAACCACACACGCAAACCAGATTTCTGATTTAACTTCCCTTAACAACTTACAACAGTTTTTCCCACTTTTTCTCACAGTGGTACCAAAGTCTGCTGCACTGACTTCAGTCTGGTACAGTTTTGCTATTGTTCAACCCAAAAATATATCAAAACAACAAAAAATAAAACAAAATGAGACAATGTTTGTTTGCAATAACACACCCTTGTGGGTGGAGCACAAGGTTTGGGCACAAGTGGAAACTGCACAGCAATGCACTTAAACCAAGAACAGGAGGCACGGGGCGAAACTGGGTTCAATTCCCTCGGCCCAGGTGTGAGCGTGCCTGTGTCTGTGTGCCCTGTGATAGACTGGCTTCCCTTCCAGGGTTGTACCCTGCCATGTGCCCGCTGCTTGCTGGGATAGGCTCCGGCTCCCCAGTGACCCTGAATGAACCACTGAATGAAGTGGTTAGAAACTGGATGGATGGATGGAACTGGAGGCCCACTCGAGGTTAGTGGGAGTGTGGAACAAGCTGCCAAACAAGAAACCAGGAAGTGGGGGGAGTTTTTACCTTGCAGGCATCTGTCCCCAATTGATCCAAAATGAGCCTCATGGGCTGATGAGCACTGCTACTCTGCAATACGAGCAGAGCGATTTGTGTTAGGGGCCCAGCAAGGAACAAATGCCTCTGTTCCCTGCCACCCCTTAATCCTTCCCAGCTGCCACCCTCCAGACCTCTGTCTCGCCCAGCAGGTACAGGTACATCCCTGGCGCAGGGGAAGGCAGACGCTCACCACAGGGTGGGTCTCGGTGAGCCATGCTTTTCTTCACTGAGACAGTCGCTCTGCAGAGGAATCATGTGGGCAATATCGGAGCCTATTCCAGAGCTCCTGATCCAGATCCAATCAGGGATCTATCACAGAGGGCACAATGACCCGCCTGCGCGTTCCCTCTGCAGCCAGGGAAGAAATGCACGTTTTACAGTACCGCTGAAACCGCATTGGTGTTTATCCCTGCCTTAATGGGCTTTAACAACAGCCTCTGCAGTGATTTCAACAGCCCTGCACTCACATTAGCGCAGTGAGGGGAGGAGGCTGCAGTAAATTCAGCTCCAGACTCCTGGAAAAAGCAGCCCACAACAAGCTGGTGGAATCAAATGCCTGTCCCCAGTTCAATATCCCCCCTACTGCGACCAGATATGTTGCAATTAAAGGAATTATGGCAGAGCAAGCATAGCTGTGGTCAGATACTGAGATCCTGCATCCTGGAAAAGCCACACAGGCCTCTTGTGCTTCCCATGCCCCTGACTTCTCAAAGGCTGAACCGGTCCCAAATTACCACACCGCTCTTCCTGAAGTCTGTGCTGAGCCCCAGGGGTAAATCCTGAGCAGCTGGCTTGGTCCCTGGGGGCCCTAAGCGGATACTTCTCAGCTCTCCTGAAGTTGCAGGAGTTTCCAAACCCACGTTCTCCCAGGTTCTCCCGGTTCCCTGACTGTGCTTGGGGTAAGAGATGGGTGTGGACGCGGGAGTAGAGGATGAGCAGATTAGAGAAAGACAAGAGAAAGACATGTCTGTGCCTTGGTTCCAAAGCCAGGCACAGATGAGCAGTGTGTTAGTGCTCGGTCACTCACTACAGGAACTGGGGTACCAGAATCCAGAGGTCAGTGCTCGGTCACTCACTACAGGAACTGGGGTACCAGAATTCAGAGGTCAGCACTAGGTCACTCACTACAGAAACAGGGGTACCAGAATCCAGAAGTCAGCACTAGGTCACTCACTACAGAAACAGGGGTACCAGAATCCAGAGGTCAGCACTAGGTCACTCACTACAGAAACAGGGGTACCAGAATCCAGAAGTCAGCACTAGGTCACTCACTACAGAAACAGGGGTACCAGAATCCAGAGGTCAGTGCTAGGTCACTCACTACAGAAACAGGGGTACCAGAATCCAAAGGTCAAGGTTAGGTCACTCAGTACGGACAGAGAGGTACCAGAATCCAGAGGTCAGCACTAGGTCACTCAGTAAGGACACAGGGATACCCCACTCCAGTCCCCAAGGCCTGCTGTATCTGCATTCTGCCACAGCTCTGAACTGCACCCCTCAAGTAACGATGGGCTAAATTGGAGCAATTTAATAGCTCTCCGCAGCACTGCTGATCCAGAACCCACTACCTCAACTGCCCGTACCCAAACAGGGTGGGTATCCCAAAAACAACAGGGGAGTCTCACTTAAACAGAACACAAACAGCATTAGAGTTACACGAGACTGGTGCCTCTGGAATTCACGCAATCCCTTTCCTGTCATAGTGTGTTGATCAGCAATTTCTTTTTAAAATCGATGTTCAAAACGATAAATTCTCCATGTAATTTCAGTGCATGAAGGATTTCCAAGCGATCCTCTTTACAGATCACTTTCATGGTATCTTTAATTCAAGCCTAGAGAGATCCTGAAATGAAGAAACATCAGTTTCTATCATTGTATGGTTCAGGCTAAAAAAAGTGAATATGTATACCAGGCACTCACAAGTTAACATTTTTATCTTGCACCTCTCTTCTTTTCATTTCAGTCTCTGCATCTCAAGCATTTAGAGGGGGGCTTTATAAAACCCATCCTGTGAGAGAGAACGAGTCTTTCTTGAGTTGAATTATTAATGAGTCTGGTAATTTAAGAATAAAATCAATTGTGAAAATAAAGTTACCTTTTCCCCTCGGTTTTTACAAGAGTGTACGTAGTGTGAATATTGATATAAGACTTTTCACTCTTTTTTTAAAGGTTTTGAGTGTGAATAACAGCCTGCTCCACAGCAGACGAAAGGGCTCCATCTATCTCTTTGTGTGGAATCTCAGCAATTCTAAAAGTAAGGCTGCTTTTAATGAAAAGAAATAAATCATGGGCGTATTTAAGAGACAAAAGTCCCAGTGCAATCATTTCCGAGCTGTAGATCACAAAGCAAAGACAGACGCACACAAAAAAAAGAGGTTCCTCCAGCACAGGAGAATAAAGAAGTCTCCAGAGACGCCATCAAAAAAAAAAAAGTTGACAGGCAGAAGGCAGCCATTTTGGATGACAGCAGCTCTGACTTCTGTAACTGCCTGAGGGACAAAATGGCTGCCTCCGAGGCAAGTTAGTAAACACTCCACAGAAATGGAAGCTGTGCATCAGGGAGAGGCACGGCAGGAAGGAAAACATCAGGTACTCACCGAAAGAAAAGACCACATTTACCCCACCCTTAATGTCTGCCCCAGCCTGGAGGAAGCATCTTTTTTTCACCCAGAAGACAAAAAGACCTAGCCATTACCCCAGTCTCCAACTCTGTTCAGATAAAGGGAGAGCACTCGTTCTCCTTGACACCGCAAAATCACGTCAAGACCACAGTCCAGGCTCTTTCAGCTGCACGGAGCAGAAACATACCATGAAATCCCCTCGATGGCGCGGAATTCCAGTCAGTGTGCGTTCTCACAGGTGAACGAGAAAGATTTTCCTGAAAATCCAGGACCCCTGGTGAAGACACAGCTGACCGGAAAGTTCTGGGACACACCTGGTTGAACAGACTTGGTGTGCCTCCCCCCCCCCCCCTTTGGACGATGGTAGCATCACGCCACGAAGTGGAGACGTTTCCAAAAACCGCACGCCAAACGAAGATGGCTTCGCTCGATCCGTAGACCTACAGCTCCTTCATCTCCCAGCTCCCCCGTGAGCCGGCGAGCGCAGGCACAGCACCCCCATGCACGCCGATCTGTGGAGCACCCCGTCTCCCTCCCCAGGCCCAGTGATCAGGGGAAGATGACAGCGCAATGCCCGGCAAGGACCGACAAGCCTCCAACGGGCTCCAGAGCCTCCGCGCTCCTCTCTGAAAGCGGCAGGTGTGTAGCGGAGAGCTGAAAGGGGACAGGAGCGGAGGAACCCCTCCTCCGGCGGGCGATGTGAAATCTCAGCGGCCTCTCCATGAGACTCTCCTGCGGTACGCTAGCGAGAGGCCCAGAGGCTCCGGGCGGCAGGACAAGAGCCCGTCTCGGATAAAACGGAGGCCGGGGGCGGGCCGGAGAGCGCGTGGCTCCCGATTGGGCGCGGGATGGGGGAAGGGTGGGGCCGTGGGACAGCGCCCAAAGAGGGGGTCGCAACACTGCCGCACTGAGGCTCCGTGCCCCACCCTGGGGGCTCCCCGTCCGAGCACCGGTGACGCCGCGAAGCAGACGGGCTCCTCTCCGTCTCGCGGTCGGGTCCATCCGCCATCTGGTCCCGGGTGGAATTTTTGATCAGCAGCTCTAATGCAGGTTTGATCTGCCATGACGCCCCCAGAGCGCGGTGGCCCCCATTCGCTTCCAGTCTGGTCGCTGAGGCGCAGCCTCGCTCTCCCACTCCCCCTCTCTTCCTTCTCTTCCTTCCCTCCGTCTCTCTCCCCCTCGCCTGCTTCTAAATCGCGCCCGTCTCTGCAGGACCATCCCGTCTTCTCTCTCCCCCCCCCCTCCCCGTGTTCCCCTTCACACTGTCATTTCTGCACCAACCTGCGGGAGAGAGACAAAGCCCTCCCCTCTTCCCCGTCTCGTCCCACGTTCCCCATGCCTGCTCGCAGAGCGCTCCCCGAAAAGGTTCTGAGCGTCCTGTCCCGCGCTCGCTCGCAGAATACCTCCTCTGAAATTCTCTGTTCGCCCCAAGTCCACCGTTAACACCTCCTACCTTCTTTCCCCGGCCCCATCACCGTATCGCAGCTCTGCAGCTCTGCAGCCCATTGGCTGTCCCTCACTGGGGAGGAAGGTGTGTGTGTGTATGGGGGGGGGGGACGAGCGCCGGTGCTGATGGGATAGCGGAGCGTGCCCAGGACAGCCACGGCCACAGGCTTCGCAGTGAGGCCTCGTCCCGCCGTCCTGTCCCCAAGGGCCAGAGGCCGTCAACACAACGCCATAGAGAGCAGCCCTGTCCCCGGGGCTGAACTAGACCAGGCTGCACTACAGCGGAAAACATGTGGACCAGACGGATTCTCTTTTGGAAAGGTAATGGAAAAAACCAGGCTGGATCACAGTGGAACAGGCTGGACTTGAAACCAGAGACATTCACTTGGCCTGGTTTGGGTTGGAATGGCCTGTACTGGCCTGGACTACTGTGGCGTTGATTGAATTTCCTGAAAGGATTTAGTCGTCTCCTTGAAGAGTAACAGTCACTCCTGGTACTGCAGAGACCGAGGGTCTAGTGCTAGTCATTCTGCCCATGAGCCCCTAGTAACCTAACTCAATCATTTTTTCAATTGGCTAATTGGCCAAATTACTGTAGATTCCAGGTCAGTAACTCCACTGAGGAATTTAAATTCCCTATAAAGCCATGTTGGACTAAATGCTGTCACGGCTGGTGTTAAACTATAAGGGGAGGGGGGCAGTTTCTTCTTCAGCACCTTAAGTCTTCTGCACATTGCAAGAGAGGACGTCACACGTTCTCTGAACAGGAGAGCAAGCAAGAAGAGTATGTGCCTTCTCCCTGATTTACTTAACACCCTGGAATGATATTAGGTACCAAATTGAGACTAAAATATAGTACACAGATGTAAGGATGATCCACAAACAGGCAATGCAGATCTCGGGTGACAGGATTCAATTCTGGATCGGGGCACATTCTGTGTGGAGTTTGCATGCCTGTCCAGGCCTGTGCGCGTTTGCTCCTTCCTCTTTGCTGTCTAGGTTAATCAGCGTCTCAAAATTGCCCCCCGGTTTCTCCCTGCCCCCATTCTCCACAGCCTTGAGTGCATGTCTGCTGGGTAAGGCTGCATCTTGCCGAAAGCCCCCCCAAGGATAAAACGGTCACTGAAAATGGATGGATGGACCATAAACAGAGAAATGCAGTGGAGGCAGCAAATCAGATGGGAGCAGTGACCTGTAATGTCACACAATGTCATCAGCAGTGAGGGGTGTTTAAGCATCCCGCCCCAACGCCCAATCTGCGAACAGTCCTGTCACTCATCCATCAACTCATCATCCATCACTTTTCTACAGAGCTGACACAGCCGCTGTGTAACTTCAGAGAATCCCAGTACAGCGCAGGGCTGGGGTTCGACAGCGCCCGTGTATTACATTCTCTGTAATACATCCTGTTTTGAGTTAGGCCTGTCTTTCAGTCACAGTCACCCCTTCTAAATCAGGCTGATAGATGACCTTCTCTCCCTCCCTGCTGAAGATTCGAAGCCGCCAACAAGAGAAACACCTGGGCGTTCAAAAGAAAATTCAACCAAAATGCACAGACCCCAACCTCCCAACAGGCTCTGAAACAGCTGCTGCATAACGTGGGAGAGATTTAAATCTAAATATATATATACAGTATATATTCAGGCTCGTTTCAACAGAAAAACAATGGTTTGAAGATCAGCATACGGCTTTTGAAGTAATGGCTGTGGACGGGCAGTAGGCTGGTAGGACCCACAGGGCTGCATCAGTAAGAGGGCCTCTCCAGGGTCCGCAGTGCCTGGGTCCCGCTTGGTCAGCTGCAGAGCTCACGCTCCAGCAGGAAGCAGGCAGTGATTCCAGTTCAGCAGCGGTGCCCTGCGCATTTCGAGCTCATCCCCTGCAGGGCGTGGGGCTGCCATGTGCCCTGTATTTCCTGGATGGACTCGGAGATCCCGTGATTTCTTACTCTTGGAAGGAGATAGAGGAGACAGTTTCCTCTCAGTGGCTCAGAGTGGCTCGGGGGGGGCACACAGCCAGTCAGTGGCAGGGCTCAAGCTTAGATCTAATAAGCGGCTCTTGCGGATGAAATCATCGGGCTTCCTGTACCCAGGCTCCCGTCCAGCACTTTCCCAACTGTGCGCGCTTCACCGCGAGACTGCCGAGCTGCGGTCTGCGAGGAGGGAAGGACAGACAGTAACAGGACTAACGTGTTGTGTGCCGTTGTGGCACATGCTGCGCCCCGGGGCCGGACGGAAGGGGCATGGCCGTCTCTCCAGGGAGAGGGTTACTGTTTACATCAGCGGCCGGCGCGAGGACACAGAGGCAGAGACGTTCTGCGGGGTCACCGGCTGAGGACTTTTTCAGAGGACCCCGCCTAATGCACATGGGCCTGACCACTGCAGACAAAGACTTCACTACGCTATTCGCTGAGCACGTCACAGACATCAGTACATCTAGTCAGTTATTCACCTGCTTCTCGTATCGCAGCACTTTCATGCACAGTGGTTTGATTTCATCTGTACGCCACGTCCACCCTCCCGAAGGTGGGGAGTGTTCTGATACAGTAACATGTACTCTGGTGCTGCGGCAGGAAGTGGACCGGGACTCTTCCAGACAAAGACAGTGCTGATTCTGCCAGAGGCTGAGCTGCTGTGTTTTGCCAGCTTCATCAGTTTGGGGCCGTTCCCAGTTTTTTGCTGATCCTTCCTTTTGGATGCTGATCCCTGGCCCAACCCCCCCCCACCACCACCACCCGTTTCCCGTTTCCCAGCCTTGTGCATGCAGACGAGCTGACAGGGAGGCGAGGGATAACGAATTTTGGCCCAATTAGCACTGATCAAGATTAATTAGACAGGAGTATGAATTCCTACTCCTCCTCACCCCCCCCTCCCCACACACACACGTTTACCCAGGGAAACAGTGGCTCTCCCACCCATGTCACTGTGTTTCTGACAGAACACTGACAAGCAGGAAGAGCTGACTCTGAGACTCACACATGCCTGCAAAAACGATTGTAGTGTGTTTTCCACTGCAATGTATTGTCCTGCATCTTACTGTGCTCTCCTGTCCTGTCCTGTCTTATACTGCACACTATTGTTCTGTCCTCAGTAGTCCTGCTGTGTTCCACATTTCACTGCTCTCTGTCACACTGTACTGTGTTGCAGTGATGTGAGTTATATTATTGTGTTGCACTGTAGTGTGTTGTTGGGCTCATTGTTGCACTGTAGTGTGTTGTTGGGCTTATTGTTGACTGTATTG